TACACAAAGTACTCTACACATTTAATGCAATCCATATCAAAATACCAACAGCATTTTTCACAGAACTAGAACAAATAATTCTAAAATTTGTGTGGAACCACAAAGGCTCCTGAATAGCCAAAGTAATCTTGAAAAAGAAAAGCAAAGCTCTATGCATCACAGTTCTGGACAAGTTATAACACAAAGCTGTAGTAATCAAAGCAGTATGGTAATGGCACAAAAATACATACATATATTAATGGGATAAAGTAGCACACAGAAATAAACCCACAATTATATGGTCAATTAACCTTTGACAAAGCAGGAAAGTATATCTAATGGGAAAAAGTCTCTTCAACAAATGGTTTTGGGAAAACTAGAAAGCAACATACAAAAGAATGAAACTGGACCACTTTCTTACATCATACAGAAAGATAAATTCAAAATGGATGAATGACCTATATGTGAGACCTGAAGCCATAAAAATGCTAGAAAAAACTATACAGGGGATCTCTGGGTGGCTCAGCGGTTTAGCACCTGCCCTCGGCTCAGGGCGTGGTCCTGGAGTCCCAGGATGGAGTCCCACATCAGGCTCCCTGCATGGAGCCTGCTTCTCCCTCTGCCTGTGTCTGTTTCTCTCCAAGTCAATCAATGTGATACATCACATTAATAAAAGAAAGGACAAGAACCATATCATCCTCTCAATGAATGTAGAAAAAGCATTTGACAAGATACAACCTCCTTTCTTGATAAAAACTTTCTACCATGTAGGGATAGAGGGAACATACCAAAATATTATGTGAGCCATATGAAAAACTCACAGTGAATACCAACCTCAACAGTGAATAACTGAGAGCTTTTCCCTGAAGGACAGGAACACAACAGGGATGTCTACTCTCACCAGTGCTATTGAACATAGTATTGGAAGTCCTAACCTCAGCAATCGACAACAAAAAGAATAAAAGGCATCCAAATTGGCAAAAAAAAAAACTCAAACTCTCACTTTTTGCAGATGACATATTATATGTAGAAAATCCAAAGGTTTCACCAAAAAATTGCTAGAACTGATAGTGAAATTCTGCAAAGTCATAGGAAATAAAATCAGTGCACAGAAATCAGTTGCATTTCTATACACTAACAATGAGGGAGAAGAAAGAGAAATCAAGGAATCAATCCTGTTTACAATTGCACGAAGAAACCATAAGATACCCAGAAATACTAACCAAAGAGGTAAAATCTGTACTCTGAAAACTACAGAACACTTATGAAAGAAATTGAGGAAGACACAAAGAAATGGAAAAACGTTCCATGCTCGTGGATAAGAAGAATAGATATTGTTAAAATGTCTATGCTACCCAAAGCAAATCTACACATTCAATGCCATTCCTATCAAAATACCATCAGCATTTTATAATTGTAAAATTTCTATGGAACCAGAAAAGATCCTGAATAGCCAAACAAATGTAGAAAAAGAAAACTAGAGCTGGACGCGTTACAATGCCAGATTTCAAGCTGTATTACAAAGCTGTAATCATGAAGACAGTATGGTACTAGCACAAAAACAGACACATAGATCAATGGAACAGAATAGTGAACCCAGAAATAGACCCTCAACTCTATGGTCAATTAATCCTTGACAAAGCAGGGAAGAAATCCAACGGAAAAAAGATAGTCTCTTCAACAAAATGGTGTTGGGGAAATTGGACAGCCACATGCAGAAGAATGAATTAGACCATTTTCTTACACCATGCACAAAAATAAACACAAAATAAATGAAAGACCTAAACGTGAGACAGGAGTCCATCAAAATCCTATAAAAGAACACATGCAGCAACTTCTTTGACCTTGGTCGCAGCAACTTCTTGCTAGACTTGTCTCCAAAGGCAAGAAAAACAAAAGCAAAAATGAATTACTGGGACCTCATCAAGATAGAAAGCTTTTGCACAGTAAAGAAATGGGAGAAGATATTTGCAAATGTCTTATTAGATAAAGGGCTAACATCCAAAATCTATAAAGAATTTATCAAACTCAATACCCAAAAGAACAAAGAGCCCAGTTAAGAAATGGGCAGAAGACATGGACATGCACAGACATTTCTCCAAAGGAGACATACAAATGGCCAACAGACACATGAAAAAAATGCTCAATATCACTCATCATCAGGGAAATACAAGTCAAAGTCACAGTGAGATACCATCACACACCGGTCAGAATGCCTAAAATGAACAACTCAGGAAACAATAGATGTTGGCGAGGATATGTAGAAAGTGGAACCCTCTTACATTGCTGGTGGGAATGCAAACTGGTGTAGCCAATCTGAAAAAAGTGTGGAGGTTCCTCAAAAAGTTAAAAATAGAGCTACCCTATGACCCAGAAATTGCACTACTAGATATTTATCCAAAGGATACAAACATAGTGATTCTAAGGGCACCTGCACCCCAATGTTTATAGCAGCAATGTCCACAATAGCCAAAATATGGAAAGAGCCCAGATGTCCATCAACAGATGAATGGATAAAGAGGACATGGTATAGATACACAATGCCATCAAAAGAATGAAATTTTGTCACTTGCAATGATATGGATGGAACTAGAGGGTATTATGTCAAGCAAAATAAGTCAGTAAATGGAAAACAAACACCATATGATTTCATTCATATATGGAATTTGAGAAACAAAACAGATGAACACAGGGGAAGGGAAGGAAAAATAAAGACGAAAACAGGGAGGGAGACAAACTGTAAGAGACTCAACTATAGGAAACAAACTGAGGGTTGCCGGAAGGAAGGTCAGTGAGGGGATGGGGTAACTGGGTGATGGGCATTAAGGGCACTTGAAGTAATGAGCACTGGGTGTTGCATGCAACTGATGAATCACTAAACTCTATTTCTGAACTAATAATACAGCATATGTTGATATAAAAAAATTTAAAAAAAAGTTCTTGAAGACTAGGCACAATATTATTTTAGGTACTCAAAATATTTGTTGACCATAAAGCTTAGTTTGAGTCAGAGATCCTGCCTTAACTAAAACTGAAAATTATTTATAGCTAATAAGAATGCTTTTAGATAGCATTTCTGAGAAATGTGTCACACTTTCAGATATCATTATAAATATTTAGTTTAAAATTTAAAAACATATAAGATGGGGAAAAATGTTTGACTATATCAATATTACTGAAGCCTCAGAAAGCATCTATCTAAATAATTATTCTCTACCACTTACAGTCCTAAGCATGAAAACATCTGATGCCAATCATGGTTCTTCTCTTAAAAGCCTTTGTTGTTTCTAGTTGTCTAGACTTATCTTGTTGTACAAGGCTCTTTACATTGTGTTCTTAAACTACCACTCAAGTCAAATATTTTACCACTCCCTGTACTCCTAGCCACAACGAACTTTTTAACCATTATTTTTATACTACGCAGAATGGACTAGATGTTTACGTCTCCCCAAATTCATATGCTGAAATCCTAATCCTGATATCATGAGATGAGGCCTATGGGAGGTGACTATGTCATGAGAGTGGAGCCTCACGGATGGGAGTAGGGTTCTTGTAAGAGAGACCCCAGAGAGAACTGTTGTTTCTTCTGCCATGTGAGGACAGAGTGAGAAGCTGAACATATATTACCTGGGAAGAGGAAGCAACCAGACCCTGAATCTGCCAGCACCCTGATCTTGGCTCAGCCTCCACAAATGTAAAAAATAAATATTTGCTGTTTAACCCCCCCAGTCTATGGCATTTTTGTTATGGTAGCCTGAACAAACCAAGATAGCATGTGTTAGCCCTTGTACCTTTTTATGTGCCATTTTAATTTTTGTTTTTCTATCCTCCTACTCTCCCTCCTACTTTTTTTTTGGCCCAGTAAGCTCCTACTTCTCCAAGATCCAGTTTGAATGTCCCTGCCTCTGAGAAGTCTTCGGGGGTTTTTATTTTTTTATTTTTTATTTTTATTTTTATTTTTTAAAGAGATCTTCTTTATTTATTCATGATAGACATAGAGAGAGAGAGAGAGAGAGAGGCAGAAACACAGGCGGAGGGAGAAGCAGGCTCCATGCAGGGAGCCTGACGCGGGACCTGATCCCTGGTCTCCAGGATCATGCCCTGGGCGGAAGGCAGGCCCCAAACCACTGAGCCACCCAGGGATCCCCCTTCGGGGGTTTTTAAAACTAACTGTTACTATATGTTGCATGACTGATTTCTCAAATAGGTAGTAAGCTGCAGGACATTAAGGGAAACTGACTTAATAATCTTTGTATTCTCAGCACTTGGCTCAGAATGGGAGCTTGGTGAATGCTGAATGAATAGAAGCATATCTTAATCTATGAGAAACATAATTGTCTTCCCACCTAAATATAGCCATTTATAATTTTTCTGTAGCAATAATAGTGAGCAATACTTAAGTTATCCTGATTATTTTCAAGGCCTCATTAGGTATTTTTTTAATTAAATAAATATCCTAATGATTCATAATTGCTTAGAAAGAAATTTTAAAGTCTTTTATTCCTTGAGCATATCAAACTTTCTACATTTTTCTCTAGAGAGAACTGAACCTTTAGAAAGCAATTTACAAAACAAAACAAATGACTGAAGAAAAAAGAGGCAAACAAAACAACAGACTTTTAACTATAGAGAATATACTGGTGGTTAACAGAGGGGAGGTAAGTAGGGCATGGGTGAAATAGAGAAAGGGAATTAAGAGTAGACTTACTGTGATGAGCACTGACTAAATATAGAATTGCTGAATCACTATATTGTATACTGAAAACTAATACGCTTTATCTTAATTATACTAAATTAAAACAAATTTTTTTAAAAAGCAGAAGCAACTTACTTTTTTTTTTTTTTTAAAGATTTTATTTATTCATGAGAGAGAGAGAGGCAGAGACACAGGCAGAGGGAGAAGCAGGCTCTATGCAGGAAGCCCCATGTGGGACTCCATCCCGGGACTCCAGGATCACGCCCTGAGCCCAAGGCAGACGCTTAACTGCTCGCTGAGCCACCCAGGGATCCCAGCAACTTACTTTATTTCGGTCTTGTACCACCAAGATTTTTCTGGTATTTTCATCAAATACAGCTCCTGTTGGGAAAAAAGCAAAAGATAATTGAGAAATATTAATTTCATTCTCCTTGGATTCCTCCCATACTCCTATCTGTGGTTATCAAAATCATACCCACTCTGGAAGGCCTCGTTCAATTACCACACGCCACCCATGAACACTTGTAAAATCTCTCCAGCAATAAACCAACTGCTCAGTCGCTCAGGTCCTTTTAGCAACTTGGATACTAATGATGGTTCTAACATATGCTAAGTTGTAAGATAATCAGCTGCATAAACTTCATCTCTAGATTATCTATTCCTGATGGTACATAGTTAAATAAATTAATCTATCTTTCTGTAGCATTTATTTTAATGTCTAATCTTAAGCACTTAAAAATATTTATCTTTGAATATATGAATAAATGAATAAATGAAAGTGACTTTTCCATCCTCATTTTTATTCTTTGAATCACTACGTATAGAACATGGGTTATGCCCCTGATGATCTAAATCTCAAATAGCTCAATATTCAGTTCAGGAGTTCCCTAAAGCCACTTATTTATTTTTTTTAACCACATGTGATGACTTTATAACATACCAATATATTGCTTTGGGATAATCATTTTATAAATGTCTTAAGTTCTAATCCTTTTATTTCTTCATTCAATACACACACTGCTAAGCACACTACACATTTGGCTAGATGTTAGGCACTCAAAAACAATAATTAGGTTTATTTGTTCTTGATAATTTTGGGTCAAAAATATAAATGACACCTTAATGATTTGTAATAGGTTCCTTTAACAGCTGTAATTTAAAAATGATTTATATTTACCCAATGTGAGGAAATACTGTTTAAAGGGTATTTTCTACATACCGTTTCATCCTTTCAATATTAATTGAGTTCCTATATATAATACATATGGGTTTTCTAGATATTAATTGAGCCCTGTTATATGTCAGGCATTTTTCTAGGTGCTAGGGATATAGTGGTAAACAAAACAAAATTCCCTATCTTCAGTGGGCTCACATTCTGGTGTGTGTATGAGAAGGTAGCAAATAGAAAACAAATTATATAGAACATGAGGTGACAATGCTATGTAGAAATAAAATACAGAAAGAAAGGTATATGAAATACAAGGAAAAAAAATTTCTCTGAAATGGAAATAAAAAGCATTTTAGTGTTTAAAATAAAGAAGGAAAACCACTAAGTGAGATATAATTAACATTAAGTTGGCTTCCATTAGAAAATATAAACTATAATTTAATCGGACTTATATGGGTTAGAATGCCAAAGAAATGCCAAGGAAACCTACTCTTAAATTTTAATAATCTGTGATTACTCAAATTGTACTTTTCCCTAATGAATTATAAGTATGAGCAAAATATTTATTTCAGACAAAACCAGGACTGCTTGAAGCACAATGTGAGCGACCCCTGCTGGTCACAACTTAAAAGGTAAATAAACACAAAGATCAGGGATTAAATAGAGGTTTTTATTATATGATTATTAGTCAGGTACTAAGCTAAGTGCTTTATGGCATCATCTCAGGTATTGTGTGAGTAGTATCATTTTGAGTTCCAAAGTTCACATAGCCCTAAAACTGTCTGTCTGGATTCTGAACTGGTAGTTTCAGTTGTACATCTGTGTCCCAACTGTGTTCTCTGGGGACTGGAGTTTCCACTTGAAGAGCTATCTAATCATTCATTCAAGAAATATTTGAGTATCTACTTTATGCTAGACACTCTCTTTAACCTGACAATACAGTGGTGGAAAAGACAAAATACCTGCCTTCACAGAACTTCTATTATCATGGGGGAAATGAATTAAGTACATGAAATAATTTCAGATTGTGGTAAGTGCAATATAGAAAAACAGACCTGGATAAAAAGACCAAAAATGATGAGATTGGAATGCTGGAGGACTGCATTTTAGATAGGAAAGTCAGGAGACTTTTGAGAAGATGTTGAAGCAGAAACCTCAGCTCTAAGGAGATACCGATAAACAAAGCCCTAAGAAAGAGCACTGCTGGAAAAGGAGTGTGAAAGCTCTGAAGCAGATAAGCTTGCTGTGTGAAAAACAGTAATAAAGCCACAGCTTACTCCATTCCAGTGTGGGGAAGAAAAGAGTTTTCCTCTACCCACTTAGGTTCTATGTCTAGGGCTGCAAAATGAACTGACAGAAAACAGATTAATGGAAGAAAAAAAGTATGTATATTTTATTTTTATTATATTTACGTGGCCTGAGGTGGTGATAGAGGACTTGATTAAAATAAGTGAAAAATCCCATGTCAATTATTTTCCTTTCCTCTAAAAAGCACTATGCCTTTCCAGAACAATTTCCTAGATGATTTCATTGCTACCCCTAATAGTCACTTCATAACCTAGTTATACTTCAAGACTGTTCAAGTCCCAGATCTCTCACTGCCTGAACTCCTACGGCATACCTTAACTATATTATATATTATAGTATTTAGTCATGAACAAAGTGCTTCATTGAATATTCTTTATGCATATACTACTAATTCTGTCATAATAACTGGATTTAAGGATCTAATTTAAAAGTCTGTACCAATGAATTGATAATTATCTGCATGACTTTCTAATGAAGTGTGAGGGAACTATCAAGTTAGCAAGTTGTCTTTTGACGTAGAGCTGAATGGCAATTTCTAAATGCCTCTACTTGCTACAGAGGAGTCAGATCATGGATGGAGAAAACAGTAGACATCCTTAACAACTCCTTTCTAACTTCAAAGGTGCAAACTACCTTTAAAGACTATTGTAAATTATATAAAGGCAAATAAAATTATTAGTTAAATTACTAGCTTATCTATAATACTGCTCTCATTTAAGCCATAAGTTGTATTTACTATTTCAGTTTTTTTGGAAGGCTCAGGATTTTCCTTCTTTTTTTTTTTTTTAAATATTTTTTCTTTATTTATTTATGATAGTCAGAGAGAGAGAGAGAGAGAGAGAGAGAGAGAGAGAGGCAGAGACACAGGCAGAGGGAGAAGCAGGCTCCATCCACCGGGAGCCTGACGTGGGATTCGATCCCGGGTCTCCAGAATCGCGCCCTGGGCCAAAGGCAGGCGCCAAACCGCTGCGCCACTCAGGGATCCCTGCTCAGGATTTTCTTAACCTTGGTTCTCAAAGGATGGTCCAGGGACCAGCATTAACATTAGCAGTAGCAACAGAGATTTTATTAAAATGCAAATTTTCTGGCCAACATCTCAAGAAACTTTTAATGTGAGGCCCAGCAGTGTTTTCAGCAAGCCCTCCAGGTGATTCTTTCTTCTTCTTCTTCTTCTTTTTTTTTTTTTTTTTTAAGATTTTACTTATTTTTTTATAGAGACACACACACAGAGAGAGAGGCAGAGACACAGGCAGAGGGAGAAGCAGGCTCCATGCAGGGAGTCCGACGTGGGACTCCAGGATCACGCCCTGGGCTGCAAGCCGCGCTAAACCGCTGCGCCACCGGGCCTGCCCCCTCCAGGTGATTCTGATGCACTCTACAATTTTGAGAATTCCTGCCTTAACCTAAAGCAAATCTCTCAAGGCCATGCCTTTGAAGTTATTCAGTGACTTGAAAATTATGCTATCTTAAACAACTGTTTGGCACTATTACCTTAATGTAAGTATCTTTAAGAAGTAATGTCCAAATCAAAAATCTGCTTTGCTTTACCTTAAATTTAACCTAAATGTTATCTTTTATTTTACACATTCACATAATTAGTACAAATATGTTTTATCGTGATTTATTCCCTGATCCCAATTCAGTGTTACCATTTGAGTAAAGTTCAAAAACCTACGTAAAAATGTTCAAATGGATCCTCCGGAAAACTAAACCTCCAACTTGCTTGTTCTCTGTGCTGCCCTCTGCTGATGCAAAAGGCAAACTTCATCTATTTAAAGCACTCCTCAATAGTCCCAAGGATAATCAAGTTATCTACTACACAAGAATAAACTATCGCTTAGCTGTAAGAAAAAAATGGGTGAACCTCTAAAAAGGTTAATTTTATTGTTAGTTTCAAACTTACCTGCAACTCCTAGTTGATGTGTAGCATATCCTGGTAATCGGCTGGGTCCCTCTCCCAGCCATAGTGTCAGCGTGGATGAATTCGATTCTGCATGGTGAAAGCAGAAACCCAGGGAAGCAGCAGGGGCAATAAATCGACTTTGGAGGATGGGGATATGCAGCCATACTGCTATCCTACCTTCTGATCTCCATTGCTGTATTGCAGCTAAAATGCAGATAAAGATAAAAATCTGTAAATATTTTCCAGTAAAAGAATGAAAGAAATAAAAAATCATCCCAGGGTATCACCTCTTCCAAAAAGTCATCCTAACACATCCAACTTCCTTAGTAACCTTCCTAGGTAAGGTTGGGGAGGAGAATCCCAAACTGCTCTGTTCACATCAGCAGCATGGGAAGTACCATGTTTATGTGATTTTTCCATTAGAATTCCTTAAGAGTAGTCAGTACAGCTTTGTGCAGTGGCAGTATCATAGCCAATGAGTTTATCTGATGTGCAATTACTGTTAATTGAAGAATATAGTCAGTATGTTCATATCACCTGCTGCAATGCGTGGCATATAACTGGAGCTCAATACTGGCAGAATGAACAAAAAAACTATTTTAAACAAAATACCATTTTAATGCTGTACCTTCTAACATCCTTAATTTTAATCTTTATAAATGACTATTATGGCCTTCTATTTATTCTTTCTTTATTCTGTCATAATTTTTTGTTTGCTTATAAATTTCAAGGTGGTTAAAACTCTGTTTTTAAATAATGTATACCAGTCCTAGAAAAAAACTGAAAACATAACCAAAGAATCAAAACTTATCTTACTAGCATGCAGAGATAAAAGTTTAAATCTCGACATTTTTCCATGAATATAATTTTGGAATCGACATCACACCATACATAATTCACAGCATCTCTATTTGTTATAAACATTTTGCTATGCCATTAAAATTTTTCATGAACATAAGTTTTTAATAACTGCATAGCTTTCCTCAAATAGGTACACCAAAAGCTACTTAACCAACCTCCTTCTCCTGGGTATTTAAATGATTTCTAATTTTTATCATAAATAACACCAAGATGAACATAATTTTTTTCTGTTTTTGACTTTTGCAAATTCTCTTATTACTTAAGATTGAACCAGAAAAAAAAAGATGCTAACATTTGGTCCTTGCTAAGTTCCAGATACCCTACATATATTATCTCATTAAGTTCTCACAACCCTGAAGGGGAAGTATTATTGCCCCTATTTTATGGGTGAGAACACTGCAGTCTCAGAACTTCCAGGATCACTTTCTCCATTAATCACCTCACTTAATCTTTACACTAATCTTGCAAATTGTGCACGTGTGTGGTGGTGGGAAGGCTGGATTATTTAACAGTTAAATTTCTTCACTTCCCGCTTCTTCACTTCTCCAGCTGTGCAGAAAGTGACTCCCTGTAAGGATCATGTTCTCAACCTCTTTAAGAGGCAGTGGGTCTAACAGTGACAAACACATGGGAGCCTTTCATAGAAGCTTCTTGATTTGGGGCTATGGAGTCAGATCCTTCTCACCCACCTCCTTCTCTAAGTCTTTTTTAAATTGATGTACAATTATGTAAAGTGCACAAATCTCGAGTGTCCATTTAATGAGCCCTGACATAGGCATACACCTGTGTAACCCACTCAAGATTACAGAACAGTTCTATTATCCCAGAAAGTTCCCATATCCTCCCCAATCATCCCAATCAAGTGAAAAAGCAAGTTTGATTTAATAACAAAATTTGCACTAGTTCTTGGAGGCAGCATAATGCATTAAGAACAGATTCCAGAGCCAAGGGAAGTTACTTAATCTCTCTATGCCTCAGTCCCATCATCTTTGATACAGAGGCAATAGTATCCACCTCAGAGTTTTGAGGATTAAATGAATACCTGTAAGATTCTTAAGTGTCTAGCAATAGGAATTCATAAATGCAATAGAATGCTTTATTTAAAAACTATAAAATGTATATAGTACTACACAGATCATAAACTGGGTTCACAAAATTTATCTCTGATCACATGTATCCAGTAAAGTATTTAGGGCTGGCATTGCTCACATAAGCAACCTAAGAGTATTAGTTTTAGTGGTGGTTTGCCTAATGCCTGGTTAAGCACCTAGAACCTGGGGCTTGAAACCTGGATGTGTGACTCTAAACCCAGCCCTCCTGCTTTGCCTTGTTGAGGAAGGTTAGTGCTTTAACCACCTGGCCACTGATAAGTGACAAGTGTGTGCAATAAATCCCTGCATCTACCCCACACATAGGTAGACATTAGCAGATGAACATTTGATTCTCCTACTGCTGGTATTATTGGGAGTCGGCAATTATTCACAAGTAGGAGAGAAAACGCAGTGAAGAGGTAAGTAGTTTGGGAATGAGAATGATTAAAGAGAGAAAGAACTATCTCAATTACATTTACGTAGATGCTCACTTGCCATATTGCTCAATAGGCTAAAGATTATTTGAGGTTTCTTTTTGGAATGAGAGGGTCTTTCGGTGGCTGAATTTCCATGCTAGGGCAATTCCAGTATAAGGGCCATCGCGGGGGGGGGGGGGGGACCTGGGTGGCTCAGTGGTTGAGTGTCTGCCTTTGGCTCAGGTCGTGATCCTGGGGTCCTGGGATGGAGCCTGCTTCTCCCTCTGCCTCTGTCTCTCTGTCTCTCATGAATAAATAAAGACTAAAAAAAAAAAAAGAACCATCAGGGACAGTTTGATAACTCCCAACCACATCAAGGGCGTCTCTAAAATTGAAGGCTCCTCCAGCCAAGCTTTCGTTCCTATCTCCGGACCTAGGTTCAAGGAGAGTGAAGAGTTTTCTTACTGAAGACTGTAACCAACCTCTACCCTTCCTGGTTAATCATAAGTCTAGTTCTTTTTTTATTTTTTTATAAGTCTAGTTCTTGATGTGTCGGCCTGACCCAATTTTTTTTTTTTGAAGATTTTATTTATTCATGAAAGACAGAGAGAGAGAGAGAGAGTGAGAGAGAGAGTGTGAGAGAGAGACAGGCAGAGGGAGAAGCAGGCGCCATGCAGGGAGCCCGACATGGGACTCGATCCCAGGTCTCCAGGGTCACGCCCTGGGCCAAGGCGGCTCTAAACCGCTGAGCCACCCAGGCTGCCCGGCCCTGACCCCATCTGTGTACAAAAATGACCACTTGGAACCCCTCTCCCTGCTGCAGTCATTGCCCACCCCCTGTATAGTTTTGTCTTGGGCAAACTGGCGGGCAGAACTAAGGCTCGGTAAATGACAGGAAACGATGAAATATTAACACCCACGGAGCGCCGCGAGGGAGAGCCCGTGCTAATTAGCACTTTCTGCGCATCACCCACCTGAACCCTCGGCAATCCTATGCGTCACTAACCGGTTTTATGGGAGGGGAGATGGACGTTTACAGAACGTGCCCAAGGTCACACACTAGAAAGAAAGGAGGAGGAGGGCAGCCCGGGTGGCCCAGCGGGTCAGCGCCGCCTGCGGCCCAGGGCGTGACCCTGGAGACCCGGGATCGAGTCCCGCGTCGGGCTCCCTGCCTGGAGCCGGCTTCTCCCTCGGCCTGTGCCTCTGCCTCTCTCTCTCCCTGTATCTATGATGGATGAATAAATTAAAAAAAAAAAAAAAAAAAAAAAGAAAAGAAAGAAAGCGGGGCTGCCGATCTCAACGTCTAGGATGGTCACTGTTTCACCCCGCCGACCCAGCTGCCTCAGCAATCTCCCGGCAAAGGGCACAGGAACGGAAGGGACGGTTCAGGTCACGCCTGCCCGGTCTCCCTAAGGCTCGGCTCTTCGGCGGAGGAGGCCCCCGGGCCCAGCACACTTGCCCTGCAAGCCCGTCCGGAACGAGGCGGCGTCCAGGCGGTCCAGCGCCCCGAGCCGCGCCAGCTGCACGGAGACGCCCCCGAATCTGTCCGGCTCCCCGCGCAGCTCGTCCGCAACGGCAGGGGCGTCCCACCTGCGCCCGGGACCGCGGGAAGCCCCGCGGCGCCCCGCCGGGAACCCGCAGTGGCCGGCCCTCGGGAGCACCGCGCGCCACGCGCCCCCGCTCCGCGACGCCCGCATCCACCCGGCCGCGTCCCGGCCGCCCCCGGCGCCCCCGGGTCGAGCGTCCTCGTGGTTCCGGAGCGGATGCCGCTACCGTAAATTCTAGGACAGTGCCACCCATTCATCTCGGAATTGCGCTAACGGCCCCACCTTTTAAAGCGCGTACCCCGAAGCCACCGCCGAGTCCGCCCACCAGCTCCTCTCAGGAATCTGCCCGGTTCCTGGAAAGCCAGAGAGAGACTTTTCCACCACTTTCTTTCTCTAAGTCAACAGACATTTGTTTAGATATGGGAAAGGCAGAGAGATACCAAACAACAACAAAAAATTCCTGTCTTTCAGGAATTTACAGTCCAAACGACGGTTGTGTCCACGTCATCCATCTCGCTTTCCAAGTCAGAATCTTTTCAACTTCTTCAAAGACGGCTGGTTCTGAAAATGCTGGGGGTGGGTGGGGGGTGGGTGGGGGGTGGTGATTGGGGGGGAGTCTCTTTTTTTTAAACTGCGCTTCACCTTGGGGGATTACGGCGCGGGGCGGAGTCCCGCTGACCTCTGCCCCGGAAGTTTTTCTTCCGGAGACAGGAGCACGTTGAGCCGGCTTTGCGGGAGCTTTTCCTAGCGGGTCTTCTCCTCATGTCTTCCAAGAAGAGCAGAAAACGGCTGAACCGAAGCGCAGAGAATGGTTCAGCCTCGCCTACCTGTGCTTCCTCCCCTTCGGGGCCCTCGCTTCCTTCTGCGGGGCCGGGCACGGCTGCGGCGGCCGGGATTCTGGTGGTGACCGACTTCTTAGAGATGGGTAAAGAGTTCGGGGTGGGGGGCCTGGTGGCCGAGCGGGCGCTACCTGGGAAGGCGTAGACCTAGCGATGCCTCCTGAAGGCGCAGAGGCTTCTGAGAGCTGGGGGAGACGCAGCCGTGACAGTGGCACGGAAGTTTGGGCACCCGCAGCCGTGCCCGCCCGGGAGAAGTTAGGCAGGAACCGTTTGTCCGTGGCTAAGTCAAGCCATCGCCTTTGTACATTGATTGGAATTTGTAAGTTGCACTTGAAACGACTTTGCCTCGTTTAAGATTCACGACATATTTAACTGCAAAATTGCTTAAAGCTACGAGCTAGGAAATAGATATGGATATAGGTAGATATATAGATCTGTAGAAGTCTGATAGACCTGTAGATCTATCTACATCTATCTATCGATAGATCTATCGATAGAGGATCTGATAGATCTATAGATCTATCTACATCTACGATAGATCTATCAATAGAAGTCTGATAGAGCTATAGATCTATCTATAGAAGACCTGGATCTAGATCTATCAGACTTCTGTAGATCTATCTATATCTATGGATCTATCAGATTTCTGTAGATCTATCCATATCTATCTGTACATCGATCCATCTATCTATCTATCTATCTATCTATCTATCTATCTATCCCAGAAAACTAACAGTAAAGATGTGGACACATCCTACCCAAGAGATCCCACTGTGAATGAAAGGCTTTAAGGTTTCTTTCTTCTACTACACAGGTTCCAGTGTTTAATAAAAGCCACCAATTACATAGCATTGTTATCAGTAGGTTGGGTATGCCACATACATATTTAATTTTCACAGAAACTCTAGAAGGTGGGGTACCCTATTATTATGCCTATTTTACCGAGGAAGAATAGTTAATGTGATTGGCTCCGGGTTCCACAGGTACTGAGTGGCAGGCGGTATTTGACTTTAATTTAAAGCCCCTTATCTTAGATCAGAGCTTCCTTGAGTTAGGAGAACGGACTTTTTTTTTTTTTTTCTTTTCTGAAAAGTTAGTTGGTAAATTGGGTTGTAAATTGTGTCTTCGGCGTGTTGAAGCTGTGGGTTGTAGCTTTGACAAAACGGAACACCGGCTAAACTTGTGGCAAGAAGTTTATGTCTAACGCACACCCCAATGACAATTTTAGAGTTAACACCGCGTTTTCGGTTTTCCTTTAGGGATCAGAGGATAACTTGTTCTGTCCTGCATATTTAACCTTTTTCAACTGGATCCTTCCCGTTGAAATTTAAATCTGTTGGTTTCTCTTGCATCTTAAATCAGAACAGAGTTTCCACATTTTTTTTTTTTTTGCTACCACCCTCTTTCCATCATTTCGTTGCCAATTTTTTTTTCTTAAGATTTCAAGTAATCTCCCAATGTTGGACTTGAACTCAAAACCCCGAGATCAAGAGTCACATGCTGTACTGACTGAGCCAGCCGGGTGTACCTCATTGCCAAGTTTCTTTCTTTTTCTTTTTTTAAAAGGTTTTATTTATTAATGAGAGACAGAGAGAGAGAGACAGAGGGAGAAGCAGGCTCCATGCAGGGAGCCCAACGTGGGACTCTATTCTGGGTCCCCAAGATCAGGCCCTGGGCTGAAGGCGGCGCTAAACTGCTGAGCCACCGGGCCTGCCCCATTGTCAAGTTTCTTTTTTTTTTTTTAAATCTTTTTTTTTTTTTTATTTCTTTATGATAGTCAGAGAGAGAGAGAGAGAGAGAGAGAGAGAGAGAGAGAGGCAGAGACACAGGCAGAGGGAGAAGCAGGCTCCATGCACCGGGAGCCCGACGTGGGATTCGATCCCGGGTCTCCAGGATCCGCCCTGGGCCAAAGGCAGGCGCCAAACTGCTGTGCCACCCAGGGATCCCCCATTGTCAAGTTTCTTAAGCGGAGTAGTCTCTGTCTCCTCATCTATCACCTACTCCTTAGCCTATTTCTGTTTTGAGATCTAGCCTATCATTCTATAGAAGCTGTCTCTGTCATGGTAACTGATCATCTCCATGTTGATAAGTACAACAGTTTTTCTTTACTTCCCTAACTTAACCTCTTAGCACTTTTTGGCATTACCATTTCCTTTTTCTTAAAACATTTTAATTTTTGGCTGTGTGCCATTAAACTGTCCTAGTTTTTCTCCATCCTTTTGTTGGTAGGTAGCTTTTCAGTTTCCTTTGCAGGCTCATTTTCTACTTGGCTGCCAAATGTTTTAAGTTCCTCAATTCTTAGTCCTAAAACTCTCCTTCTCTGTATAAATCTTTTTGGCAAGTTCATCCAGTATCCATAGTTTTTCATCTATACTCTCATCATTTTCAGATTTATATTTGTAACTAAACTATTTCTAAGTCTTGGTTCAGGTGCCTTCTAGACCAATACTACTCAAACTCTACAGGGAAAGTTTTAAAATATATATTACAGCCCAGCACTGTTGTAAATTACAATAAAAAGTAATTACTAGAAAAGTAAGTTTAAAAATAGAAATTGTATTAGATTCCACAGATGTATGATTACTCTGTCCAGTTGTCATAAAAGCTTCTAAGCTTTTATGTGCCCTTATTTGCTGTACTTACCCCACCATGAACCAGTAAAATAGTTCGCTGACCAACTTTGTATAGCATTGTGTTATACATACATCTTCTCTTTGATTTTTCTTTCTTTTTTAAAACATTTTTTAAAAAAATTATGTACTTATTTTAGAGAGAATAAGAACAAGCTGCTGCTTGATATTGCCTACTGCCCTAGGGTATCTTGATTTTCCTTAGGTGGCCCCTTCTTGTCTTCTATGATTTTGCCTGTACTCTTTCCTCAGATGCACAGTGCTCCTGTCTGTGCAGTACTTCTCTGTCCAAGCTGTTCTCTTTGCCAAGAATTATCTTTTTCCCCCCCTCTTTGATTAATTAATTCCTACTCTTCCTTTGGATCTGAATTTAAACATTACTTTCTTGGAGAAGCATCCTCTGTTTCTTCCAAACTAGATTCCACATAAGAGGCTCTCCCAGCACTCTTAGTTCTTCTTGCATTCTATTAGTTTCCCATTACACAGTTATTCAGCGATTAGTAACTCTCTCATCCTGTTAGATTATAAGCTCTTTGAGGCCAGGAACCATCCGCTTTTGTTCACTTTGTATCTCTTGTACCTAGCATATTATCTGCCACGTAGTAGGCACATAATAAATGTTTGCTGAATTAACAAATGAAGAGTAGTGGTTGTTTGAAAATACCTTTACTAATCTGGCACATGAAGTGCTCAATAAATGTATAGTTGATTAATGAGGAAAGTGGATGTTGAGATGTATTTTTTTTAATATTTTTTTTTAATTTTTATTTATTTATGATAGGCACACAGTGAGAGAGAGAGAGAGGCAGAGACACAGGCAGAGGGTGACGCAGGCTCCATGCACCGGGAGCCCGACGTGGGACTCGATCCCGGGTCTCCAGGATCGCGCCCTGGGTCAAAAGCAGGCTCCAAACCACTGCGCCACCCAGGGATCCCGAGATGTATTTTTAAAGTACAGTATTGGAGGAATGAGGACTTGTGAAAGGAATTGTGTGGAGGACAGCTTGAGTAGATTTGAACACTGTAAGAGAATGCATGGAGATGTATTAGGAGATAAGGCCAGTGGATGAGAATATGAACATGATCTTCATAGGGAGGAAGTGGAGGTATTTGTAGAACTGGTGATTTGTCAGATCCTGATGCATGGTGAATGTGCGGGACAGGACGGAAGGAAGAGAATAAGAAAACCTAGAATTTTGCTAAGGACTGAATACCCCTGTGAGTTACTTATCAAGAGGGAAGGGTAATTCATTGAGGTTTAGGAAGAAAGAAGGGGTAGAAACTGAACATTATGAAATCGTCAAAAGGATACTTTGCTGTTATTGATTAGTAAACTCTGTAAGAGACCGAATGCTCATAGGAAAGCTGAATTTCTTTTCAGCCTCGTATTATGAAATATGCTTATTTTATAAATGCTCAGTACTGTTGATCTTAGCTCCGTGAGATGCTTTGTTTTTCTAGATTTGTTCAGCTGATGACAGAAGGAAAATATATTTTGTAGTGGCAAAAATAATTAAATCAGACATTTTCAGAGGTGTTGCCAGCTGGGCTGAATTCTGGTCTGTTCCTTTGCCAAAAGTTGAAAACACTAATGATCATTTTGGTCAGTATATACTTGCTTAAGGAATAAGACTTGTGCTATTATCTTACCTGTGTATTTTTGGGATTAGAAAAGAAAAATATCTGATTGGTATCATGTGG